GGTAATGATAGGGAGTGACAGAGGTTTGTCCTTTTTGAAAGGATAGCAACTCATCTCTAATGAACTGATATATTTGAACAGAGACCGAAGGAAGTGAGGGAATGACCCATGTGGACATCGGACCAAAGAGCTTTCCAGGCAGAGAGAACGTCAAGTGCAAATGCCCTGAGGTGGAAGCTCGGGTGTTTGAGAAACAGTGGAGAGGCTGGTGAGGCTGATGAGAAGGGAAGAAGGGGAGAGCGTAGGAGATGATGTCAGAAATGCACTTGGTAAGTATGGGGCTTTTCCTCTAGTGAGCTGGGGAGCACAGGAGGTTTTAAGCAGAGGAGTGACAGGATCTGACTGAGGATGGCTTCTGTGTGGACAACAGACTGTATGTGCAGAGGTGAAGGAGGCAGAGCCAACATCCAGGGGAGAGAGGAGGTTGGTTTGAATTGGGGTGCTAGAGGAGGAGGTGAGGAGAATTATCATATTCTGAAAGTATTTCAAATGCAGAGGCGATGAGATTTGTTGATGGTTTAGATGTGGAGTATGGGATGATTTCAAGATTTTGCCCTTGAAGAACTCAAAGAATGGAGGTTTCATTTCCTAGGATGGAGAAGTTGGGAGGAGGAGCCAGTTTGGGGAAAGACAATCGGAAGTGTTGGCCATGTTAAGTTTGAGCTGCCTGTTAGATGTTCACGTGGAGGACAGCAGCAGGTGGTTGCTTCTGCATCTGGGTTTCCAGAGAGAGGTCCGAGCTGCGGATACAGACATGGACCTCATCAGCACAGAGCTGGTGTTTACAGCCACAGGGCTGAACAAGGTCGTCTGGAGCGGTAGAGTAGCTGTCTCCTTCACAGGAGTGTGAAGGTCAAAAGATGCTGTATGGAAAATACTTTTGTAAACTGTATAATGTTACCCACGTGGAAAGGACTAAGTGCATAAATATGGTAAAGAACACAGTTTAAAGAAGTACCTGCAGGAGGAGTTAGAACCATAGAATGTGTGTGCAAAGAGAACCTTAGAAACCAGTTGATCAGCTCCTCTCATTTCCTCCACGAGGAAGGGCAATTGAAGAGGAGAAGAGGCTCGTGCAAGGACACCCAGCTCATCAGTGGCTGGCTGGCCCCAGAAGTGAGAGGCTCTAACTGGGCTGCAGTGCCGTTTCCGCCACACGACGCACCTGCTCACACTGACTGCCTCAGCTCGCTCTGAATCTGTTAACCAGAGCCAAGTAATTCTTCCAAAACAGAAATCTAATTATATCGCTTTGTGCTTTCCTACATGCTATTTCCTTTGCCTGGAATACTCTGCCTCCTCCCGCTTCTCTGTCTGGCAAATTCCTGCCCTGTCTCCATTCCCAGCTGGAAGGGTCCTCTGCTGTGAAGCCTTTCTTGCCCTGCTGGGGAGAGTGGGTCATCGGCCCTCCATGAGCACACAGTGCTCTGGTCCCACGACGGTCCTTGCATTTGCTGTGATTATGTCTGCCTCTCCAGCCTGCCTGTGAGGCTCTGGCTTTCTCCTTTTCCTGTGACCTCCCCACCTAGCAGAGTGAGTGGCACTTAAATGTTTGGGGAGGAAGGCAGGAAGGAAGATCTCTTCTCTCACATTAGCTCAGGACAATGGCAAAGCTGCCATTTAGTGACACTTTAGTTCCTCTGACCTAAGTGTGCTTTTGGTTCACAAATCGACAATGACTTCTGGGGTGGGAATTTTCTTTTTTCTTTTCCATCCCCAAGAACAATGAGCAGGTGATGCCAGGGCCAGGAAACTATTTGGACATTATAAGTGATTGCTGCCTTCTTCTTTTCAATTCCTCTCTCCTGTCAGTACATGAGCGGCTGCTGTTTGCTTGCCTTTTGCTGCAAGGTCAGATTTGTGTTTCTACCAGGGCTATGCACAGGTATGCACACACTTCTACACATCACACACACCTACACACACTCCTGGGAGTGCCTGCACTCTTGTTTTTCAGAGGTAGCTAAATCTCCCAGCAAATGCCCTCAGGTGGGAGGCAGGAGACGGCATTGTGCTCCACCATTGAGCATGAGAATTGGGACTTACTTCTTCATCTCTTGGCACCTTAGTTCAAAATATGTTTGGAATTTCTAGGTCAAGAGTGAATTCTAAGAACTCCTTCCCACGCCCTAGGCTTGCTGCTCTTTAGCTTGTTTGTTTTGGATAATTCTATATTAATTACTGTATTTACATTCTGCTTAATTAACACTGTTCCAGTAGGTGGAGAATCGCTCCCAATAGAAGTAATTATTGCACAGGTTAGTGCAAAGGTTTAAGGAAGGTGATAGAAGATGGTGGTGAACCTGTGGTGATGGGGCGAGGTTCCAGGTTTTGTTTCAAGTAAATGATTCAGAGATTCTAACCAGGCTGGGTAGGCCAAACTCCGGAGCTGCCTGAAGCAGGTGGGAAGCCAGGCCGGTGAAGCAGCTGTCCGTTCCTGAGCTTGGACTTCCGAAACGCTCTAGCATTGAGAGCTCTTGAGTAATCACTGTTAATCAATACAGTACTGTAGGAAGCAATTAGGATTAATTAGCCCAGCATCCCAAGCAGCTCTGCTCCTCTGTCTGTGTCTCCTTGGGTGTCTCCCTGCTTTGGCTCCTGCTTCCCCTGAAAAGGGAGGGCTCCTGGCCTGTATCCCCAGACTGGGGTCTCCTCTCTTCCAGTACCAAGCCCCCTCCTGCACTCTCACACTCATTCATACCATGGAGAGGGAGAACCCGGAAAGGCATGAAGTGATGAGGGGAAGGGAAGGAAGAAAAAGCAATCAAAACATGGTGGAAAAAGAGAGGGAGGGTGAGAGAATATGCTGAAGGAGAGAGAAGATTTTTATTGCCTTTCAAGAGAGAGCTGCTGCTGATAGAACCACTCAGAAGGCATTGTGTCTGCTCTCCCAGCCAGACAAATGGGAAGCTCTCCTGCTCGGCCCTTTTCCCTGCAGTACATGGAATGTTTTCATGTTTTTGTAGCAATTAAATGATGTCTACATATCACACACATTTATATTTTTGCAATGACATAAACAGTCCCCATTGTTCTGTAGGGAATGGGATGTGGATGGGGGGGGGGTGGGGCAGCACTCACAGCGGTGGAAGGGTCCCAAATGGAGATCAGGAGACCTGCCCCACCTCAGCCTGTGACTCTGGGAGCATTGCTTCCCCTCTCTAGGTCTCGTTGTCCTTGTCTGTAAAATGACAGGTTTGGACTCGAGGCCCTGCATTACCTCTTCCAACTTGACTCCTACCTCTAATTAAATGGATGGGCCACCAGACTGCTCTGCTGGGACAGCCCATTTCCTTCCTTTTTCCCTCTTCTCTGCAGCTCTCTCCTCTTATCCTTTGATGTCTTTCTTTTGCAACTTCCTCTCCATTCTGCACATTATGAGTTTCAGCATTTCTGTTGCCCTAGAAAGCCTTTATTTCTGAGATTGTGCCCTGTTTCCCTTTTTACAGCATCTCATAAACTCCCTTCTTGGATTCTTTCTTTCTTTCCTATCATCCAGGCCAAGATGCTTCTCACCTTGGCTCAGAGGGGTGTGTGTGTGTGTGTGTGTGTGTGTGTGTCTAAGGGGTGCTTCTCTGGGGCTCTTACTGTCTCCATCCCTCTGCTTTATCTGAGATTTCCCTTACCCAGAATTTTGTAATGTAAAATGCTTCACTCTAGGGGCCAGTCTGATGGCCTACGGGCTAAGTTTGGTGCTCTCTGCTTTGGTGGCCTGGGCCTGGTTCCCGGTTGCTGACCTACACTGCTGGACTGTAGCCATGCCGTGGCTGCGACCCACATACAAAATAAAGGAAGACTGGCACAGATGTTAGCTCAGGGCGAATCTTCCTCAAGCAAGAACAGGAAGATTGGCAACAGATGTTAACTCACAGCCACTGTTCCTCAACCCCAAAAAAAAAAGCTTCACTCTAATTCTTCAATGTCTGGCTTATTCTAGAAAGTCTTTTAATGGTTTCTTCCAACTTAAATTTTGTATTTCACATTTCTGTTTGATTATCTCTTAAAATCACACTTCTCTGGATTTAATTTTTCAGGTTCTTTGTCTTTATCCTTCATTCTTTCGTTTTCTTTTCTCAGGTCACCATTTTAATTTTAAAATACCGTGTTTTGTTCAGCAGAGGGCTCCCTTCCCATCCCTCTGGCAGCCGGGGCAGATACACTTGAAGCTTGCGCCTCTGTCTGGCGATAGGAAACACTAGATACTTCGACCAGTAAACAGTTCAGCCTCGCTGGGTGTGATCGCGCGAATCCTTCCCTCCTCAGCCCAGCGCACTCCTCCGCCCCCGCCCCCGGCTGCCGGGATCGCCAATCTCTTGGACGCCCTCCCAACGTTCCTGATGTCCTTTTACTCCCCGTAGCCCTTACTCGTTCTTCAAATCATTCTGTAGGTAGGTATTACCAACCCTACTTTACAGCCGAGGAAACTGAGGCTTGGCGAGGTTCACTCAAGGTCGTGCCGTTTGTAAAGTTGACCCGAATCCGGCCAGTTCTGGCTTTCCAGTCCAGCCCAGCAGCCTCGCGTCCCTCCCTTCGACTGCAGTTTACACCAGATTTCCCGTTTTGTACGCGGTTCTTTTCCCCTTCAAATCCACAGGCAGAAAAATCGACTAGATCGTCCCAGGCTAAAAGGGCTGGGGAATCTGGGAGCCTGGGGAAGGCAGAATTTCCTCAGGCCCCAAGGGCTGAGGTGGGCTGACGCCCCGGGAGGAAGTCAGGTTCGAGATGGGGGTACCGAGGACGCGGAGGGGAGTGTGGCAAAAGGCAGCAAGTGCTCGGGGGGCCTGGGGCTCGCCGCTGGAACGCCGACTGCGGAGCGGGACTTATGTCCACCGCCGGGTAACACACTTGGCAGGCCCGGGAGGGATCGGGCCGAGCCCGGGGACGCGGAGGTGCAGGGCGCCCCCTCGCGCTCCTGAGGGCGCCTCGGAGCTGGCGGGGGAAGCGCCCGCCGCCGCAGGTCCTGTCCGACCCCCACCTCCTTTTCGCTCCCCGCCCCTCTCCCCTCGCTCCCAACTCCTCCCCCACAGCCTCTCCCTCCCTCCCTCCCTCTGCTCCGTTCGCTCCTCTCCGCTCTTACCCGCGCGCCGGGTCGGGAGCTAGTTGGAGCGCGGGGGCTGCTGCCAGAGCCCAGCTCCGCTGAGCCGGGCGGGTCGGCCGCGCGTCCAGCGGCTGCGGGAGGAACCGAGCCTAGCGGGCGCGGGCCCGGGTCGGGACTGCACGGGAGCGCCGAGCCGAGGGCCGGGGGCCGCTGCTGCGCGACCGCCCCATTCCCAGACGCGTCGCTGGCCCTCCTGGTTTGCCGCCTCCGCTCCGTGCCGCCGAGAGCCGGGAGCCGCCGGGAACCGGGCACCTGCGCCCGCAGCCCGGAGGTGAGTCCCGGGCGCTTCCCCAGCGCGGCCCGGGGCTGCAAGTTGCAAACTTCTGCAACTCGGATGGGTAGAGGGGTGGGGGCCCGGCGGCGCTGGCAAGTTGGAACCAGGTGGGAGAGGCTGCAGGCGGGAGGAGAGAGGGTCCCCGGGCTTCCGCGCCGCCCGCTGCCACCCAGCTCGGGCGCCCTCGCGCTGCAGCGTTCCCGCCGCCCTCCACTCTGGGTCCGGGCTGCAAGGGGGTAGTCGCCGGCTGCGGCCGGAGCGTCTGGGCAGCAGCCGCGATGGGGACCCAGGCCCCGGGCCTAGAGGAGGGGAGGGCCGAATGAAAGGCAGGGAGAGCGCGGGGCCGGGGCGCGGAGACTGGCGCCTAGATGGGGGCTCAGAAAGGGCCGACGAGTAAACCCGGTGGAGGGAGAGTGCGCGCGGCGAGACGCGTGGGAACGCGTGGCCGGCCCGGAGTGCGAAACCTCTTGCTGGGGGACCTCCCCGCTCCGCCGCCCACCCGTTCTTCGCAGACCCCCTGCCCTGGCAGGGCCCTGCGGAGCCCAACTCTGCCCTGCCAGGCCCCCGACGCAGCGGCCCGGGAGCCCCGCGCTCCGCCTTGGCGGGTGGAGAGGGGTGCGGCGGCGGGAACCGGGGACGCGACCGGCGATTTCCTGATTTATTTTTCTCATGGTAATTTGTCTTTGTGGTTGGGGCTGCCCATTCACTTTCCGCTCACGTCGTGCCGGAGATCCAGCGCGGAGGGAGGGAGTGGGGGGCGCTCGGGCACGGGGAGGGATGGAGACAGGAGAGGGGATCCCGGACCCGAGGGGGGCGGGAGCCGAGGGGGAAGAGGGCTTAGGACCCCCCGAGGGAGAAGGCGAGGCTGAGGGGAGCGGGCCGAGCGGAGCCGCGGGCTGGCGGCGGAGGGAGGACGGAGCCGGCTCCTTCGCCTACCGCAAACTTTAAACAACGAGGAGAAGCCACCTGAGGCGCCCTTCTTCCCTCCTCCCCATCCCCCCGCCGCCGGGTCCTCGGGTCACTCCGCCCCGCCGCGCCAGGCGGGAGTGGGCCCCGAGTGTGCATGGGGAGGGGAAACCGCCGGACTCTGCCCCCACCCTGCGATCCCTTCCAGGCTCTCCGCGGTGGGGAGGCGAGCAGCCGGAGCGGGGAGGCCGCCCCCCTTCCCGGCCCTGTGGCTGAGCCAAGGGACCTGGGATTAGGGGTTGGAAGCTTGCCTGTGTCTAGACCCCACCGCGTTCCTACCTTCTCTGGCCCCCACCCGCATCTTTTTCCTTCGGCCCCTAGCGAATCCAATCTCCGCCCACATTTCACAGGCACCCCCTTCCTGCCCCACCCACCACTTCGGCCTCATTCTGCTCCTTAGGCAGCGGCGCCTTTCTCCAGCGCCCTCCAGGCCTCCTCATCCTCCCCACCCTCTCTGTTCCTCATCTTTTGGCCTATTCACTTCTATTCTTTCTCCTCACTTACTGCCCCCCCCCCCCCCCCCGCAATTTCTTCTTGACGTTCAAAAGTAGCCTGTCACCTTTTCTGAACCGGAGTAGATGACCTTGAGAAGGAGCAGAGGGAGCTTGAGCTTTAGAACTGGACCACACAACTGGGAAAATGGGGGCAGATTAAGAAGCAGCTTGGAAAAAACTGCCAATACCCTGCCCCAAATCTAGATTCCCAACCGAGGAGGACGGGGGATAAAATATCAAAGAGAAAGAGGGAGTTTGCCCCTTGGTCACCCATAGGGCAGTGAGACTTTTGGGGAGACGCTCAGGAGGAAGGGCTGCCTCTGGCTGTGTGTGTGTGGTGGGGGCATCTCCTTTCTGCATATCAACAGCTACCACCACCAGTTTGGGAGAGGATGGCAGGTGTTCCATCTCTTTTCTCTTTCCAGGGAGTCAATGCCAGAGACTTCCTCCTCCAGAGCTGACAACAGCCAGCCTTATCAGCGTGGGCATCAAACACTTTTTAAGCACCTACTGTGTGCAATACACCAAGCTAGGTGCTGGTAGACTCAAAGAGGCACAGCGCTGAGCCCACAACCAGAGAGGTTGCTCAATTCACCAGGTTGATCCTAAGACACTTGTGTGTCTGTTTGGGGAGGGAGAACATGAATGGGAAAATGCACAGGCAGTATGAGGCAGCCAGGACTGGGTGCCAAGTGGTGGCCTGGGGCTTAGGAGAGGACTGATTGAAGAAAGCTTGATGACTCAGGTGGGACTGAGAGCTGGGCTTGTTGCCTTGGCCCCCTCCCCACTAGCTGTCTGTATAGGGAGGGTGAGACAGGAGAAGGGAAGGCCAGGGAAGGGCTCCCTTTCCACTTCTCCTAGAGACTGACCAGAAAGGCAGAGAAGCCAAGAGGTCCAGCTTGGCGCTGTGGATTGCTACCTCCTAGTTTGGATTGGAGGAATTACAGAAGCTTTTCTGAATTGGGGTAGTCTTCCCAGCTTATCTGAAAGCCCCTCGGTTAGTTACTTCCTTTTGGGGCTCAAAGCTGGAAGAGGGCTTGGAGATTGTCCATGTCATGGGAGTCACAAACTCAAATGCCTACAGAGGGCAGGCAGGTAACAATGTGCTGATCAGGCAATTAGAGTGACCCGGCCTGGGGACAACTGGGTATTCAAAGTCAAACTGGCCAAACAAAATGGTCCAGACAAACCCAATGTGCAGCCCTTGAGCGGTCTGACTCTCTAGACCTACAGATCAAGAAATTCAGGTTCCAGGAAGTGATCTCATCTCTTTGCGTGTACATGTTATCGTGTCTCCCTGAACCTTGGGGATTGACTGGGACATTCCACAGTCTGGTCCTGCCTCTGACCTGCTGGACCCCCAGCTCACCCTCGCTCTCAGGACCCACTAGGATTCTTCTGTGAGATGATGAGTTTCTTGAGGTCAGGGAGCCATCTCGTCTTATACAAATCTGAGCACTTCACATCCATTGATACAAAGTTCCAGATGTACAGCCAGGACTGGGACTCAGGTCTCCTGCTGCCCTACCCCCACCCCCATCCCCCTCCAGGAACCCAGTGAGTGTAAACCAATGTTATTCTTTACAAAAAAGAAAAAAATCCAACCACGACTATTTGTTTCCCCTGATATAGTGAAACTTTATTCAGGGGTTGGATGAGAAAAGACTGGAAGCTCACATAGGATGTTTGAGGGTCCCAAGGAATATCCCGAAAGCACTGAGCCCTGAGTGTGGGTCTAAAAAGGGGAAGGGGAGCCCCAGCATGGGGGCAGAGGGATGACAGACATTTATGGAGGATCAGCCTGTCAAGGCTGAAGATTGGTGGATAGAGTGTGTGCACCTGGGATGAAGAAGCTGTTGGGTACATTTACTTTGAACACTGATCATTGCTCCTCTTTTTAATCTTGGTCATCCTCCTATATCTCATAGGGAAAGTCAACAAGATAGCAGCTCAGATCACTACCCTACAATCAACCAATTCACTACTTTTATTGAGGAATGAGGTGGTAGAATGGACACAGAGAGCAAAGGACAAGGTCGCTGATTAGAATTGCATGTTACCTTGTCTTATATCCTTAAAGGACCGGGGTTGAGCTCCTTTGTCCCACCACCCACACCTCCAGCAGCCAGATGTTCCCCATGGTCCTCAAGTATTGGCTTTGTTATTGGCTGGGTACATGGTAAATGAGACCAACAGTGGCAGTAAACTCCCTTGTTCATCATTTACTGGGCACCTACTGTGTGCCAGGCACAGTGCTAGAAGCTCGGGATACAATAGTAAACAAGACATTTCTCTGCTCTCCCTTGATGGAGGTGGATCAGCGTGACTAGGAGACCGCAAATACTAGCATTGCCTCGACTTCTGTGATGGGATTTATTGTGGAGGTTTTTTCCCTGTGTGTTTGTCTGGGTGACCTGACAGCTACGTGGATTGTCCAAAGGACTTGGGGTCCAGTGTTTGGGAGGGCTGAGAGGGCTAGGATTCTACCACCTTAGCTGTTCCGTCCGTTCCAAGTCCCCCTCCATGCCTCAGATTCCTCCCTCATCAAGTGGGGTTGAGCGCCCGCCTTGGACCTGTGGTGTGGACAGAGGCAAAGCCAGGCACCTGGCGATCTGGGGATGAAGACTGTTGGGAGAGAATATTGGTATTTATACTTCAGGGTCGGAACCCCAGTGGGTCCTGGAACCATCCTTTGCCTCATCCAGTCACCTTGATCACTAGCCTGTCTTCATCAATGGATGACTGTGTGTATGTTGGAAATAGTTACCTCTAATTAATGAGTTTTCTTCACATTCAGATCTTTGCATTTGAGTTTAGCCATCACTAAGTTGGTCTTAAATTTATGACAAAGCTTAACTAACTTGATCTTAAATGTATGACAAGAGATCAAAGCAAGTGTCTTGGCTAATTGAGTTTCACTGAATTGACCAAATTGAGCCATTCTTTTACAGCTTGTGTGGGCAACACCTGGCTTTCACTGGCATAGCACTATTCTTTTGTGCATCTCCTCTCTGAATTTGGTTTGATGACATCTGCTTTGGGTGAAGAGATGGCTCTCTGAAGGGTAGTCTGAAAGGGGATCTTTGTGTATGCCATTCTCTAGCTCAGATGGAGGAATCTCCTCCGATACTTTCTTTCTGAAGAAATCTCCCTTCTAACCTTCTGAAGAAATCTCCCTTATAACCAGTTTGAATGCTAGAAAGTGGCAGGGAAAAGTTCCAGCTGGGAACAGAGTTCTGAAGGGGAAGGGCTGGGTGGCCAAATGTTCTGTGGCTCTGCCACGTCACTGCCCATCCCTCTGCTTTAGTGTTTTGCTTTAGTGAGCCTGAAAGATGAAAACCCAACCTTGCAGAATGCCCTTTTCCAATTGGGTTTTTTTGTTTTTGCTAAGGAAGATTTACCCTGAGCTAACATCCACTGCCCATCTTCCTCTTTTTGTATGTGAGTTGCCACCACAGCATGGCCACTGACAGATGAGTGGTGTAGGTCCATGCCAGGGAACTGAACCCTGGGCCACTGAAGCAGAACGTGCCAAAC